TAGGGTGGTGAGAAAAAGCCAATAAAGACCAAGAAGTAATGAACAAACACTGTGAGTGGAATAGCTCCAGATGCTCAGAGAGATGACAATGATCTCACTCTAATGAGCCGAGGTGAGCTCACCTACAGCATTAATGAATGCCTGACAACTGGCAAAGGCCAGCTGATTTCCCTCACAGTTCACCGGCAGCATGTTTGAAGTCTCTGTGCAAACAATACACCCACAGGACAGTCCAAGGCCCTCTACAGAGGGTAACCGGCAATTACTCTGTGGGCTTCTGTCACTTTGATCTCTGGGTCGTGACCTTTGCTTTCTTGTGATCTTCAAAGCCCAGATTGTAGATTAGCTGGAGAATGCTAACTGGGTTGTGTAAGCCACAAGTTTTACAGCTCCCTACTCGGTGGGAAATGGTGGCAGCCCAGGACTGCCTGCAGATGGTAGAGACTCCCTCCCTCCCTCCCTTGGGCTGAGTGCTACAGACATTGGGCAGGCCCCAGGGCTGCTCCCTACTGGGGAACAAAGAAAGGGTGTCACATTCTAAATAATTTAAAGTTGTAAGGAATACAGAGGGATGTGCCGGGGATGGGGGAGGAAGGAGAGGCTCGACCTGTGATGGGCAGTAGCAGGAGAGAATTCATGACAAAGGTTCAGTGAACAGAAGGGAGTTGGGAGCCACGAGCCTAACCCCCTTGTTTGAAATGTGAAGTCCAGCACTTGTGGACTATTGACCTTCGGGCCATTGTTCTTTCTGCAGAAAAGAAAGAAGGAAGAAGAGGGCTGAAAGAGAAGATAAGCAATAGCACTCAAGCTTCCCATACTTGATTCCTTACTGTGTCTGGTGTTGGGAGTCCACAGAGGCCTCACGTGGTTTCTTAGCACCTTGGTGGTCCAGGCCTAGATGATTTGCCTCATCGCTCTCTTCCTGCCCCAATCTCGAAGGCTGCTGTGACCACCTTCACTTCTATTCAATATTCATCCCCAAACAACAGCACTGTGTCCACACAGCAAAGCACGGGGCAGGCTTAAGCTCTATAGTAACGTGGCAATGGACATTTCTCAGCCATGAACTATGATGAATGGCAAAGGGAACCCCCAGGCACGGTTTCGCTCCTGCCCCCAGCAGGGCCAGGGCTCTACTCAACAACTCAGCAGTATGTTCATGCTCACATAGAAATTTAATGAGCCTGTTTTACTGTGGGGATGTGTGCCAAGAAAATCCAACTGGGTGCACAGGGGGTAAGTGAGGAAGCCAGAAGGGTGGGCTAGGGGGAGGGGAGGAAAGACTTGACAGAAACCCGAGGATCTGTGATGCCATTTCCAATTGCTACATAAATCTAGTCACTTCCCATTTCTGGTCCAGTGGTTGGCCACAATGTGACCTAAAACTGGGCTGACCCCTTTGAAATCAACATCTACCATGGAAATGAAACAACAGACACACTTGTTTTGATGTATGGCTGGGTGACATATTATAAATATTACATCACATAACCACAGAGGATGCCAATCAATAAGAAATTTTTTTAGACAGCACTAAATGAACCATGGGTTCTTGCTTCTGAATACATTCCTTTAAGGCTCCTACTATTGCTTAAATGATTAATAGAAGACATATTGTCAGAAAATGTACTTAAAGTGAAAAACAGTAAACTGTAGAAATATCATTCATTTTTAAGCAATTTTCTAGTGAAAAATGTCACATAAATTTACATAGAGGCTTCACTATTAGACTGTGGGTAACAGTGAGAAAGAAGGTAGACTTCACACTTTGTGGATGAAGAGCTGGGAAATATTTTACCAAAAGAAGAAGAAAAAAAAACAGCAGCTGCATTGCTTTGTATAAATGCAAATGCCACAGGAACTCTGAATTCAAAAGTCGTATTGTGAAACCCTAAAATTTCTCAGGGGCAAATGGAGCACAAACTCCAGAATAAATAAATCAGAGCGGCTCACAGGCCACAAAAATGGAACTGCATCATGCACACATTTCTCTCTTCCACATCCAAGGGCGAGTGCTTATCAAATCAACAATGAAAAATAAAAATAAATAAACAAATGAATAAAAAACTTAAATGGGCTGGAGAATCGACCTACCATTCCACTCTGCAATCAGATGCTGTGCAGTGAATGTGCAACCCCGTGGACTCGCATTTAACATTCCCTCTGCTGTTTTTAGTTACTGCTTCTCTCAGAGTGTAAGCATCTTGCCATTGTTATGGGTGATGTATGGATTTTCTAAGGTAACTTTTGACCAGATGTGATTTTGGCTGCATATAAGCTCTAAGATCCAGCCCCTCATGGCAACTTTACCATATGTGAATTAACAGCCAGCCTTTCCAGTCCCATCCCTCAAGTACTTCTAGGGAAACAGATCAGGGATGGAGAGGACAGGCATGGAGGGTGCCCAGGCTAGCCCGTGAGAAAGAGTACTCACATAGAATCAAGCCCTCCCCAAAGAATCATGACCCATAACCAGGACTTGGGTTGAGTCCGAATGACAGTCTCTTGCTTGTTAAGTGTCTTTGACACACCCAAATGGATCTGATCCCAAGTGGCAGTGGGCATCTAAGGTACCCAAAAGTCCCTGCCTCTACCTATAAATATTCAGCTCCTAAGCAGAAAAGGAAATTTCAAACTGTCTCCTGCAGTTACAAAGGCCCTTTTCCATGTTCACCACTACATTGGGTGTTGATGAGGATTTAGAAGAAAGGAAGAAAGCCTGTACCCACTGGAAGCTATTCTCTACATGTTCAAGTACATATAATAGTGAGGGAAATACATGAGGGAATCTTTGAAATGATGTGAGATGGTAAAGGACAATGGCAGCCGCTTGAGAGCAGAGTGTCTCAGAATGCTAGAGCCAATTAAACATCAGCATTCCCAGTGGAGGGTTCTATTGGATTTGCCACCAAATGAATGAGAATGCCTTAGATGACTCAAAGGCCATTAAGGAACCACAGATCAAAATGGTCCTCGGCATTTTAAAGGTCCCCAGTGCCAAAAATGGACCTCACGTCAGATCTTCTGATCTGACCTCTTACACTACACTATGGGTCTTCACCTTTTGCTTATATGACTAGTTACAATAACAAAATAATAGTATTAGCTTTTTAATTTTTTTTTCATTTTACAACCTTATTTGCCTCTGTTTGAGATCACACCAAATAGGATGGAACTGAAAACTTCCCTTGTGCTGCGTCTCTCATTCTGGGAAAAATAAATAAAAAAATGCTTGCCTGAAGTTAGAGCTACACATAATTTTTGATTCCATGAATGAATGAATGAATGAATGAATGAACATGTATGGATATGGACACATAGACTCATATCAGACTCATATAAGTGAGCACATACATACACACATACATATTTAAATTTTGTTAGGTTATTTTATAAAATTAGTAAAATCTGGGGAAAAATATTAGAGAACAAATGATAATTTCCCAGTGTTTGGTTTAATAAAAATTCTTACTTGGGAAAATTTGGTGGGCTCTCTTGACCCTCCAAGATACATCTATAAGAAGATTGGATAAGTTTTAAGTGACCCCTTTACACCTGAAATCAGGCTACTAAATACTTCAAAATTGCTAAGAGGGTTCCAGAAGTGAATTAAGTTCTACGTGATTAAACAACTTAAAGTGATGATTCAGAAATGTGTTAAGTATTTACCTTCTGTACATTAACCATACTTGTAGCAGAATTCATGTTCAGATGTATAGTATCACATTCCAAATGAAAATCTTCATGATGGAGAAAGATTTACTACATTTTTTTTTAAAGTAGGGTTAGAGTTTTATTCTAAGATAATTTAAGGATAGACTAAGACCTCTCCAAAATTAAACATGAAACCTAGAAAATGAAGTTAACAGTACAAAATTCTTCTGTATAAAGAAATAGAACTGAATTTATGCTGCAGCCTAATCTACTTATATGTGTATGTATTTTTAAAAATCTTCAATGTTCAATAGCCTTAGTATTTCTTCAGCATTCCCTTTATTCAAAATGAATGTCCCCACTACACTACATTCCTCCATGCATCGCCACAGATTGTTATATAAGTTCCAAAAGAACAAGTTCCTCTCAAATCTTTATGTTCTTTCTCTAGCCTTTCCAAATCTATCTCCCCTACCCACCTTCCTCTCACATTAACTCAGGTGGTAAATTAATGAGAGCCTATTTCATGATGGAGAGAGAAGCTACATATACAAAAGATCATTAAAATATTTATAAAGCAATAATCAAGAATGAGAGCACATTGAGTTTAAAATGAGGAGGTAACAAAATGAATTCAGTAAAACAGATAAGATTAAGATAATTTTCCTAAGAGAGGTGATTTGGATCAGGGATTTCAAAGCAGTTGGTTTATGAAAACAGAGAATAAAGAGAAGCATTCTTACTTGGAGCCCAGCAAAGTAAACTCTGATGCCTAATTTTAGAGAGGAGCAATATGGGCCTGTAGGACTTCCTTTTGGAATTGTACATGAGCTCCCTAAGCTTTGGAGAGGTTTCTCTCCAAAAAGTGATCACAGAAAGACCTTACAATATAGAGGAGAGGTTAGCACACTACAGGCCCTGGGTCAAATCTGGCCTATTGCTTTTTTTTTTTTTTTTTTTTAAACAAGTAAAGTTTTATTGAAACAGAGTCAAGCCCATTTATTTTACAAATTATTTATGGCTACCTCTTTCTGAAACATCAGAGCTGAATAACTGCAATAGAATCCACATGACTTACAAAACCTAAAATACGTATTATTTGGCCCTTATTAAAAAAAAAAAAAAGTTTGTCAACCCCTGACCTAGAGCACCCAATGGCTTGCATCCTTCCTGGCTCCTGTGACCTCAACAAAGGGAGACAGTGGCTTTAGTTTTCCAAAAGGAAGAAATTAAACACTGTCATGGGAAGTCCACTGATATTTACCAAACATCAGCTACCCACCTCACAGTATGATGTCATCCACCAAAGGCACTATTTTCCCTGTCTCCCACCGTAAGACACTTACCTGTATCGCTTGTAGTCTTCCTCATCCTTTTCCAAGCTGACCAGCTCATTGGGACATGCAACATTACCCAGCAGGCTGAGGTATTCCAGAGCTGGCGTCACTTCTGCCAGGTGATCGAGCAGACGCTCCAAGTCAGTGATGTGACAAAGGTTAAGGATCTTAGTCCAGGTAGACAAAGGGCTTAGCAAGGAGCATTGGGCATAAGTGGCAGGCGCAGCCTAGCAACTGACATTTTGATTCTGCTCCTATGTGATGACTGAGCTGTGGGTGGAGGGCAGTGCTAAGTGTTCACTCCCACTATTGGAAACATGACCCAAACTTTCTCTGCATAAGTCACACCAAGTCCAGGTCACTTGAGGAAGAATACATGAACTTAAGTTTCATCACACTTTTCTTTTCACTGTAGCTTTCTTTTCTTCTTTAAATATTTTGTTTTTTTAGTCATAGCTGGACACAATACCTTTATTTTAAAATTTATTTATTTATTTTATGTGGTGCTGAGGATCAAACCCAGTGCCTCACACATGCTAGGCGAGCTCTCTACCACTGATCTACAACCCCAGCCCCTGTAGTTTTCTTTAAATGATTTAAAAAACATATTTCATATAGAAAAACATTATGCAATATGCAAATCTATAAAACTTATATTCTCTTTTAGTAGAAACAATTTATCATTGAAACAAATGGAAACAGCATGGATGCAAAGAGGGACTGGCCCCTCTTCTGATCTGAGAGTCTGTAGGGAAGCTAAGCTTTGCTCAGTGACCTTGTTGATGGCAATAAGGCATTGCGTTGGGGTAAAGGGGAACAAAGGAGGAAAAGACAAGAGTAATTTAGGATAGGTTTCATCCAACCAAGCAGGTCAAAATACATTTCCTGAAACTCTGCTCTAATTTTATATTCAATGAAGATTATACAAGAGAAAAGACAGAGGAGGTGCATGGTGGTGAGATTATTCCATGATCCTTCCCCAAGTGGGATTCACTGTCGAATCAAGACAAATACTGAGATCTTCCAAACCAAATGTGCAAGAGTCGTAGATGCATGAAATCACAGCTATTGGAAAGGACTTAACCTAGTCCAGATATCAGCTCCTGGCTTTAGCCACACACTTATGAGCTGAGCCCTGGGCAAGGTGATGACTAGAGGGACTGTGAGTGGAGGCCATGATTAGCAGGAGCATAAGATGAGACAAAATCAGTAGACACAATGGTTCTTGCGAGGGAATGGCAGCAGAGCACACAGGGACTACCACATAAAAGCAGAGGCCACACATAAGAGTCAAAGCCTCAGAGTGTAATTTCAAAAAGTAAGGTCCAGTTGACTCTAGGAGAAGAAGGTAACATCCAAAAAGGCTACTTAATCCCTGTCAGTATACTATGGAATCCTGGGATATTAACCAGATTTTCTTATACTTTGCTTCAACTTGTCAGAGAAGAATGAACTCCCCATTTAAGTCATGTCTGATTCCATCCCTAACACACTTGCCAAAGGGTCACTACAAGACAGCACATTCCATTTCTGATAACCAAATAGTTTTTCTTTCCTCTGGGCTGGAATCTTCCTCTTATTTCTACCCATGGACACAATTTTACTGCTTGGGGTCACAGAGAATAAGGCATTCTTCTCTTCCACACCATGAGTTTTCAGATATTTGAAGGGTATGTGTCTTCCTTTTCTCCAAGGAAAGTTTCTCCAAGCATTTTTCGTACAACGTGCTCTTCCCCCATCACAGGTAAGAACCAATGGTGTACTCTGGGCTGGCGCAAGAGGGAGACCAATGAGCAGAGCACCAGACAAGGAAGGAAAAGAATAGCAACCAAGAGATGCAATCAGGCTCACTCACCACTGGCTTCCATGTGCCAATATCATCCCTATTTACTAAATCAAAAAGAAAAAAAAATGGACACGGAGTTTTTAATCTTTCAAATATTTCACAATTAACATCCAGGGATGACTACAGATAAAGACGATGGGAAAGGAAGTTCATATCAGAAATGTAGAGACAAGCTCCCACCAAGAAGATAATGTTAGAAGTACAGGGTGCAGACAGCCAGGAATTAAATATCAACATATTTCATCACTGAATACTAAACACAGGAACCACTCTTAAAAAATTCATGTTCAATTTTGCCATACTACTTTTAAAATTTTCAGTACTGGGGATTGAACCCAAGGTTACTCTACTAGTAAGCTACATCCCCAGATCTCTCTTTTTTTTTCATTTATTATTTTATTTCATTATTTTCATTTGCCATATTTTTTGGTACTGAGGATCAAACCTAGGGATACTTTGCCACTAAGCCACTAAGCTATGCCCCCAGTCTTTCTCAAAATTTTTATTTTGAGGCAGGGTCTCACTTAGTTGCTGAGGCTGCTCTTGAACTTTCAATTCTCCTACCTCAGTCTCCCCAGTACCTAAAATTACAGGCATGAGCCACCATGCCCAATCAATCACTATACTCTTTAAGAAAATCATTTTTAAAATATAAGTGGTTAAAATGGCAGTGAACAATTCCAGGGAAAATTCAACTTTTATAGTAGATTCCATCTTTGCATGTTTCACAGTCATTGTTAGAAAAGGAAAAGGGTCCTGCCACCACTCCATCAGCACTGTCCTTGTATCCAGGCAGGGACACTTCATGGGACCCTGTGCTATGGAGTGCCTTCCTCAAAGTTCTCTAAGTCCCTATCCAGTACCTAAGACTGGTCAGGAGCCAACAGTGTCACCCAGATGAAGTACTCTGTGCCTGGACCTGGACCTGCAGAGGCCCAAGGCCCAGTACTTCATGGGTTGCTCCAACCTCTACCCCACACATGGAACCCATGAGATGCTACAAGGAGCACTGTAGCTCATGCCTGTCAGGTTGTCCTAAAACTTCAAGGCCAAGACCACATTCCAGGAAGGATACCAAACAAGCTCATCAGTCCTCTGGCCAACACAGTATTCATTTTGTGGGACTGCAAGAGGTTTGGCTGTCAACATGGTACTGACATAATGATTCAAACTATTTATGTGCATGAAGAACTTAGATGACCTAAGAAAAGCCCTCTCTACTATATATAGAAAAGTCACACCCAAACCTTTTAATTTAGAGCAAACCTAAAAGCTTAGTTCTTCTTCATCTACTACATGAAGGTTGGAGTAAATATAATTCAAAACTGATAAGATTTTTAAGTTGAGGGAACACTGGGCAACTGGGTTGGAATGCAATCCCAGTCACTTCTCAACAGTTTGTGATGACCAAGCAGAAGCTTAGCATGCCACCAACCAAGGAAGTAGACCTACTTTAATTGGAGTACGTCTTTATAGGTAGATTTAACATAGCGCTATTAAGGCATATGTGTGAAGGGCTCCTTGCTTACACAGGGCCCTTTCAAAGCCCTGGGGAAGACCCTCCTGACACAGTCACATGGACATGTATTATTTTTTTAAAGTTTGCAAAACTGGTTATTTGAATGCAAATCAGTTAAAATTATTATCTTTCTCCATCACATTTCCCCTTGAATTAGGTGACAAAAGGAATGGCTATGGGAATCCTAGGGATCTGGCTAAGGAGAACTCTCTAGGAGTCATGTTTACTTAGTAGAATGTATTTGTGTAGCCTATAGTCACTTCTGTGTCTGATTAAATTATTACAACAGTTTCAGTAGGAATGACTTCCAGTAATAGTTCCACCTCTCACCAGGCTGACATCAACATGCAGGGACAGGATAAAACTGAAGATGCAATGATTAACAAATTCATCAATTCAAACATTGAAGAAGAAGATGTTGAGCATGTGCATACTTGCAAAGGCACATGCACACCATCATCCCTCACCAAAATGTTCTGAAATCTTAAAAAGCTCAAATATGAAAGAAATGGGAAAGAGTTTCTCCAAAATAAAATCATCTCAAAAGTTATACTGAAGGTACACTGGTGAAACTACCAACAATGAATAATAGTGAGTCAGATTTCCATCACTATAATGAAATACCTGAGATAAGAAACTAATAAAGGGGAAAAAAGGTAGATTTTGTCTCACAGTGCTAAAAAGTTTCAGTGCAAGATCTGGTAGACCCATTGTTCTGGGACTTTAGTGGGCATACCAGATGGTAATGGTGGGGAATATGTAATAGAGCAAATGGCTCACCTCATGAGCCAGGAAGAAAGAGAAATAAAGGAAGAAGCCCTGATCCCATGATCCCCTTTGAGAGCATGCTCCCAGTGACCTAAGGACTTCCCACTAGGTTCCACTTCCTAATGGTTTCACCACCTCCCAACAGTGCCACCCTGGGCACCAAGCCATTAACACACAGACCTTTGTGCAAAACTTATCCAACCCACAGCAGCAGTGAAATAGAACATTTCTCAACTATAAAAATAAAAATAAAAACTTCAATCATTCATGCTCTAAGAAGGAGTTATCTTTTTTTTTTCTACAGAAAACATCACAAAATTTCATGCCATAATGAAGCTATAAGGGAATTTGCAGGGGGAAAAAAAATAGGGAAAAACTTCCCATATAGGCATATTTCATTTAAAAGGATTGCTTCTTTTCTAGTGTTTTCACATTGGTGGGATTTATTCACTTAAAGTTTTTAAAGTTTTCTTTCATATATTTTTATTTCAAATAAACATTATTTTCATACGTTTATAATCATGTAACTTTCATCTTAAGAAGGACTCTTCAAGTTAGTCAAGTTTCACACCCCACAAAACCTGAACCTGCCTTTACACAAACACCAAGAAGAGAGATCCTCTGAATGCCCCGGTCATGGGAATTCCTTGGGAAAAAGGTCTACAGGCTTCAAGAAGCTTCAGCTATCCTATGCCAGTAAATCCAGGGGATTTCCCAGAGTCTGGCACATTTAGGACACTTTGTGTGACAGAAGTGCCATCATTTGACAACCTAAAAAGTGATAAAGGGGGCTGATCTGGGCGGTCTCCCCCAAACCCACACCAGCCAGGAAGCCCCAGCGCCTTCACCCCGCATGCGCTGGAGCTGCTCTTCAACTCTGTGTTGATTCCACCACCACAGAATGAAATAGGAGAAGGAGTTTTAATTGGCTCCTCGGTCCCCTGGGTCAGCGAGGACAAACACAGCCCTGTCTTGCCTGATTTGGAGCTGAGATAGAACTTGTCATATTCCTTTTTGTCAAGTTGCATGGAAAATTAACCAGAGGCGATCAGTAGAAGAAACTCCATGTCTCTGGCTGACCAAGACCACGGCAGTGGAGACGGATTCAGGGATTCTCCCAAGAGTGACTTTTCTTCCTTTAAAAAAAAAAAAAAATTGAATCTATTTGGCAGAGTTACAACTCTCTCCAGCTGGATTCTCAGCACACACCTGGTTTCCCTCATCAACTCTTCTCCGGAGGACTTGGCGTTTAGATTTTTTTCAACGTTGTCTACAGAAAGTTGCCATCACGGAGCCCAGCTGTCGTGGCTGGGCTTGCCAAGGGAGATTTTCTGCGGAGGGTCCAAGATCAAAGCAGCCTCTTGCCTTGCAAGTTTGGAGTGGGAAGGAGGAGGGGAGCCTTCTGGCGTGTGTGTCCAGTTGCTCAGGTCCAAAGTGGTCTCCCAGGTGAGAAGGGGCTCATCCTTCACTCTAGGCTGAGCTCTAGGTCAAAGGGTAGCTTCTGACACCCTGGGGGGATTTTAACCAGGGATAATCCTAATGAAGGATTTTTGAATGCTAAATATGCAGTACAATAACATATTATCTCATTTAGATCTATACTCAAGCAGCAGTCCTTATCACGCCCAAATAACAATTAAGGAAAAGGCTTAAAGGTCACACAGCCAAAAAGTGGCAGAATCTGGATTCAAATTTAGATCCTAGAGAAACTGCATTCTAGGGGAAAACAGGACTCATGATTTCCTAACACAAAAATTAAAGAGTCTTATATGTTTCTGGGGGAGACCACAATGTGCTGTTATCCAGCTATGCTCTGTACCTTAGATTACTTTCAATATAAGCTCAGTTTTTAAAGCACTGAAGATTTAACTAATAGTAAAATGTACTAAGAAGTTGTAAAATCTTTGGGTGTTCACAAAGCGGCTTCCCATATAACTATATCATTTAAATTTCTCAACAATACTCTAAAGTACATATTATATTACCCATTTTATAAAGAAACCAAGGCTCCTGACAAGGCACTGAGACTTCCCCCAAGAGGACAGCAAATTGCTATCAGAGCTCAGGCCTGTCTTCTGACTCATGCAGTGGTCTGCTCACCACAGCCCAGCTGTGTACATGTAGCATTCTTTCTTCCATCCGGTGCTACAATTCAAACCCTGTTGTCTCATCAGACAATGTACTAAAGCAAACAGGGAAACACAAAATGGTGATTTCAAATGATGTCAGTGTAATCCTCAAAGGGAAGACCAGGGAGAACATTGGATTGTGTAAAAATTAAAGATGTATGTTTTCAGATTTTTTTATTTGGTCCCTTACTTGTGGTTGAATATTAATTTATGATATGGTTGACACCATTACCAAAGACCCTACCTGTACTGGTGGGAGAGTCATGGATAGTGTGTGCACGCTTATAGTAGGAGAGAGAGGTGAAAATATAAGGGCGGAGAGAGGGATTCAAGTTCATGGCCAGTGACTACCTGGCCATTCTAAATGAACCAAAGGTGAGACAGCTCAAAGACAACCAGGCTTTCAGAGATTCCAGGCAAGACACCAAAGCTGAGAGCTGAACTAAAGTGGAGCAGAGGGGAGGTATAACAAATATGAGAAGTCAAGCAGAAGGTACACAGATCGGGTGGGAGGAATTGATTGGTGCTACTGAGTGTGGACTCTGGGATCTCTTTCATGAGCAGAATTCCTCAGACCTAGCTGGAGCAGGGCCTTACCATGGTAGGCACAGGCAACTGACTCCCCCACATCTAAGTCCCTCTCTTTGTGCAGTGACTGCCTCCCCTTTGAGTTTCAGACTTTGGGGCTAGAAATCAGCATACCTGGGTTCTAGACTGAACCCCACCTTTGACAATCTACATGACATCCAAAAGCTTACACTCCTAGCTTTTCCATAAAAATGAGAAGAATGGTGTCCAACTCGTAGAATATTAAGGTAATATTAAATTATAAAAGTCAAAGGAATATGCTCTGGCCTTGATTGTAATGGGGACCAAGTCAGATAAGTTCACACACTTCTCTAGAGTAGTGGTAGCAATATACACATACTTACTATGTTACTGGCACTTAATGTTGTTTAGATATTTAGAGTCCTCTTATAATAAACTATGGGATGAGTACTATTATTGTCCCCATTTTGCAGAGGAAACCAAAGCATAGAGATATTATGTAACTTGACCTAGGTCATGTAGCAAATGGCAGACTTCAGGTACAAGAGCAGGGAGTCTGGCTCAGAGCCTGTTGTTCTTAAATACTATGCAACAGTTCCACCTGCTAAAGGAAAAAGGAAGCCAACAACCCAAGTTTCCAGAGCATAGTAAACAGAGCTGTTTAGATATAGTTAAAAGTGAATAAAAACAAAAAAGGAAAAAAATCTTGATTTATAGGGCAGATTAGGGAGGGCAAAAAGCTATTCTATAGATGCCAAAACCAAAAAATAAATAAATGAATAAGTAGATAAAAATAAAACAAATTTCACAAAAGAATTTGAAAAAAAATATATCATTTGCTAGCAAGATTGCAAATGTGCTGAAAGATTCAATTATGAGAAAAAGCTAATACTTAGCCTTTTAGGAGGTCAATAGTTAATTGCTTTGGTGCCCTTTATGACAAAAGTAAAGCTAAAATCTTAAAGGAGATGAAATGCCAGTGTAGAAAATTGCTATGGGAATGAGCTGTGCCTCTCTATACCCACATTTGTTCTACATTTGCTTTCATAATACAAGTTGTACTTACAAAGTACTTGTACCCTAGACGTTGTTCTGGAACATTCCTCTCCTGTGATGTGGGTCATGCAGCCTGTTAGAGATGAGCAGTTCAGCCAACAGCCTGCATCCATTTCCAGAACATATGGGTGAGACCATTTAGACCATCCAGCTCCAACAGTTTCAAATCATGGTGGTAACATGAGTTATCCAAAGTAAGACCAGCAGAAGAACCATCCAGCTGAGCCCTAGCCAATTAGTTGACCTATACAATTGCAAACAAAATATTTGTTGTTGTAATCCCTTAAGTTTTGGGGTGGATTATTATGTAGCAAAAGCCCACATATAAGGTATTTCATGGGGAAGCAACAGAAAAATGGAACCTAATAATTGTTTGAGAACCTGGGGCATTTTCCCAATTAGGTAAGAGAGTTAGAGGGCTGAAAATATAGAGTCAGAAGTGTTAGACTTAGAGGATGGCATATGATGTTGCCTGCATTTACCTGTCTTTCATTCTCTGACTTTTGGATCAAGCAGATGGGGAATCTCGTCTTCATGAATCTCTGGTCCAACAGGCCAGTGAAGAAAAAAGGAAAGAAGTCATGCTGCATCCTGGGAGAGCCAACCCTTGGCTTCTGTATCTACTGATAATAAAGCGCACCACAATAGCACAATGACATACCCAGTCATGTTTATAGCTTCGTGGCATCTTCTTCTACAGCCCCTCCCAGCCATTCTATTACTCCCTCAGCATCATGCTACTTGATGTGGAAAGTGATACATGGAGTAGGGAAAGGGCCCAACCAAACATAAAAGATAATCTCTCAATGCTGGGGATCCAAGAGGCTCACCAATCTCTGGTGTCTACAATACTAAGAATAAAACCATCATTCAACTCAACTTAATTCCTTAAAAAAGAACAGAGGTCACAGAGAATGACTTGTCCAAGGCCACACAGCTAAATATGATTACACTGACCCATGACCCCAAGTCTGTGGACTCTGCTATTCACCAGTGACATGAGCCACAGGAAGTGAGTCTTGGGACCCATATCATACAAATTCTAGTCTAATAACCTTTCTGTCCTTGACTGATTTGAGAATATCATCCATATGATCTCCTAAGACCACTAAGGAAGCCACAGGACACACTAGCTATAAATATTTTATAAGCTGTAGTAAGTTTAATAAGCTGTAATAAGTTTTCAAACAATGACTAGGAAACTTGATTGACCAGAGGGTAGAAGAGGGAAACCCCCGACCAGATTTGTCATTATGACCCAGACTGAATTTACTTAGAGGCCTTCCACTTCTCTATTAGAGTGGCCATTAATAATGGCTGTAAGATCCATACTTGCTAAGATATGAATGTTTGTGTCTTCTCAAATTTGAATGTTGAAATACTAACCTCCAGCTTTCAGACTATGAGAAATAAATGCTCATTGTTCTACTCAACAGGATTCTGTCACAGCAGCAAGGGCGAACGGAGACAATACAAAATAAAGAAAATATTAACTTATGGCTTGAAGAATAGACAATGGCTAATAAATGCTTTGCAAAATGTCTTTAAATGCTGACATAAGCATACAAGTCAAAGTTAACAGGTATATCTGCCTTTATTTTACAATCTAATGGGAAATGCCCTGGTTTCTTTTCTATTTCTACCTTATCACATGAATGTGAACAAGTGATTTAACTACTCCAGGTTTCAAATGTTCTCTCAGTTAGACAAAGCAATTGAACTTCAACTCTGGAGCCACAGAGAACAGAAAGAACTCTGACTATAACCACAATCTGAAATGGAATCTAGGGCTTAGCATCTTGTTAACTATCTGACAAGGGTGGGGGTGGAGGTCTATACTGCACCTCTTTCCATTTCTAGATAAATGGAAAAAGTGCACCCTCCTAACAGGGCTTGGTAAGAATGAAAAATACTATACTTAAAGGATGTAGCACAGAGCCTGATGCCTAGGAGTGTCCACTAATGAAAAGCTAGTGGTAATGACTCATTCGTTCATCCCACAAATATTTATGGAACTTGTACTCTATGACAGGCAGTATTCTATGTGTGAAGGATGGAGAGAACTCCCTGCCTTGTGGAGTTGGCATTCTAGTGCATGATAATCCATAACTCTAACAACAGAGGAGTTATGTGGCTTGGGTCTCAGAAAAGGTTCCCTGGATTCTGTTCTTACTGCAGAATCCACTGCGGGTAGTCCCTGCAAGTCTGTCTGTAATTGGCACCTACTCAGGGGAAGCGTGGCCCAATGGCTCTCCTAGGCCCCTATCACAAGCCAGTGAGGTACACACCTGGGAACGCAGAGCCAGGCCTGACTGTCATACCTCTCTTCCACCTCAGCTCTTGCCCCTCTCCTCTTTCTTACCAGAACTGTTACTCTTGCCTGCACCAGAGTCTTCCAGAAACCCAGAAGACCAAGTTTGCTTAGCGGCATTACCTCCCACTTCCCACCAGAGGTCGCTATCCCACACAAGCCCAAGCCAACCCGACCAGCTTCGCCTCCTCCGCAGCAGTGACATTATTTTCTTTCTCTATTTTTATCTATTAAAAAGATTTCTTCGCAGCCATAACTTAGATCTCTACACTAAAATGGAGCAACAGGAAGATATAATGGTGCATTTCATTTATGAATGACCTATAATAAATTACTCTGAAGTGTCCCGGGTGCCAGAAGACAGAACGCTGTGTCTGCCCATGGACTGTATTTCACATACTTTAATTTAGCTGACACATAAAACTCATTTGACATTTTGCAGGTATTTGGTGGGGGGGGGGGGCGGGAGGGGACCACTGTGGGGCTGGGCAGGGAGTGGGGGGCGGCAAGGAGTGGGGGCGACAGGCAGAGGAAAGGATATTCGGTTCTTGTTGAGGGTTAAGGTGTGGAGCTGGGGTAACCCTGGCAACACCAGGTCGTCCCCGAGCAGATTGTTGTCCAAGATGAGTTCCTCCAGGCTCCTGAATGCGCTCAGTCCTTCCAGTGACCTGCAATGACAAAGGCAACAGGAAAAATGATCCTGCACTAAATCAGGGAGGCCATTATGAGCCGAAATAAATATTTTAACCTTCCCTTTCAGGACTGGGAATAGTTTGGGCTTGGTGCCTGTCAGCAAAGTGAATGACAAGAATTAGTAGCGGGAGCCGGGGTGGGGGCGGCGGGGGAGAAGGGGCCGCTGGCACTCACCGCATCCTTCACGCATTGCCAACATGAAGGATGAGGGTCACTTAGTGAGTAGCCAGGATCCAAAACAAAGGGCTTCAGATACGGCCTGCAGGATAAATTTGTCAATGTCTTGTGCCTTCAGGCACCCAGCCTGGGCTGACCCTAACCTCCATTCCCAAGATAAATAACTCTGTCACAGTTCACCTTCATTCCCTGGACACAAATTTAAGTTGTCATCCATCATTCCTGCCTAGAAATATCATACCCCTCTTACAATAATAAATATAACTTCAAGTATCATTTCTTAGCGGTTCTCCTCTGTACGGTCGCAGGGGAAATGGCAAGGAGGGCTTCTTTTCTTTCCTTTCATATCCTTTCACTTTTTTCCCCTCCCTCTGCCTTTTTTCTTCACTAATCACTTAATTTGCTTCTGCCCAGTGTCCCCATGGTTGCCCAAAAGGCAAGGCATCTGTGGAATTACATAATCGCTCCAGCCTGAGAGGGCCTTTTCTTTTTCTTTCATTATTTCTTTTTATTTGTTTTGGGTTTTGTTGGGAGGAGGAGGGTTGAGAGAATTTTTTTTTTTTTTTGCTTCAAAAGCTCTTGACGTGGAGTTAGTGTTTTAATTTATGGAACGTGAATTTCTCACTTTATTTTTGAAAAGCAAGGGGAAAAAAATAAGTGTAGACCTAGCAATGGAGATGTTGAGGCAGTAAATAAAAGGCATCTAAAAGGATTAAGGACCCAGCTCAAGGGGGGTGAAATCATGTATCAGAAAGGGAAAAACGGCTTTGCTTATACACACAGCTGAAAGTTAACTCTTCATCTGATGGGCTCTCGTGAGTGCCCATCACAAGACAAGAGGTCAGGGTGGAGGAGGCATGGGGCAATTTTGCACAAGCACTTGCTCAGATGTGCACAGACATTAATTAAAGAAAGCCGCCCAGTACAGAGACTTACGCAGACACAAACTCCCAGCTCGTTCACCTGCCAGACCCAGGATATGTGCTGAGCTTGCACAGGCTGACAGCTGAGCTACGACGTCTATCTGAGGGAGGACTCGCATGGGATCCCTGACTACTCTATAAAATGTGACGAATCAGGAAGATGTCGTCCACACTATTTATTCATTTACTGATAGCACCTCCATTACTGTGCTGCATGCTTGCGTGTGCAAATGTGTATATACAGCGTGTGTGAAGTTCAGCACCAGGGCTTTCCCGAGGCATCCAGATCTCCCTCTTGGTTACCTCTGCCAAGAAGTCTCCAAAGCAGGGAGTCAATACTTGCAAGATATAAAATGCATTGTAAGTAATTAAATCTGCAGATGCCACTGGGCCCAGAGCTCCTGCAGGCCTGTTTCTGCCAGTCCTCAGGGTGGTCCCCCCCCCCCCCCGGGGCCCAACACCCAGAGCACACCTGCTCTGACAGCCAACACTGCCTGCTCAATGTGGAAGGACAGGGCTGTGCATGTGTTGGGCTAAGGGTCTTCAGATTTCATTTCCTGCTCCTCTGTTCTCTTTTTCCTCATGGTTCGAGGAGGCAAAACACTGACACATCTAAGCAGGAAGTTTTAGGGCTTTGCCTCAGTTCCTCCACGACCTTGCAGTGTGAATCTGAGCACCCTGAGATCAGTTCTGAACTGTGCACTCTGTTCCTTCCAGCGCAGAGGATCATACAGAGACTAAGGGCACTGACAAGTTACTAGCAAAGGCTGATTCCTTTCTTTTCCTTCCCTCTTTGATGCATTGATTTTCCCCCCAGGATCTGAGCTTGGGGATGTGTTGGGGACACAGGGGGTAGGCAGATGGACAAAACCATACAGGTGTGTAGGGGACCTTTGGGGTCTTCTGAAGTACCTCCCTCCACAGGGGTCAATGAGTGATGCTCATTAACCAAAAGTGCTTCTCAGGACCGGGCCCCTGTTTGCCAGGGAGGGGAGTGGGGAGCAGAGCTGCTCCAGTCAGGCAGCCTTATGGGGAGCTAATAAGTCTTTTGTGCACAAACATCAGCTGGGCTCTGGTCAAAGGCAGCATCCAAATGCACATTGTTCCTGAGTTATGTTATGCAAATATTATACTTTTATCATGAGAATCAGCAAATGGTTGGCAACTGGCAAGCAGAAGAAAGCTCCCTTCCAAAAGTGCTTCAGGGAAGGCATAAAACAAAATGACATAGCATGAAGTGGGACAAACAGGACACACTAGCGGGGTGCCTACCCCCACGGAGACAACCTCTGTAGGGAGTGCAGGGTTCTCTGGGGCAGCATTCCTACTGCAGTGAGAGGAGCCAGGAGCATCCATCTCAAATCACCTGTCTCAGAGTCTTTTTGCCATGTAGGGTTATTAGCTGCTCAGTAAAAAGGGAACTGTGTGCATGGGGGACTGCTAATTAATAAATCCCTGTTTTCGTGTCATGGGATAGCATGCCCTTGGTGATTGAACCAGCTAAATTCAGAGCTGAGGGACTGAGGACAGAGAACACAGCTTTGTGAAGGGGAGACAGGGAGGAGAGGATTTGTGGGGCTTGCCTGGCATGTGGGGGCCAAATAAGCGTACACCCGGAAGATGGCTTTATTTTTCACTTAAAAAAATATTTTATTGTTTTTGTTGTTTTCCAGAAAGAAGTAAGAGAAATAAATTATTTGCAACAATCTTTGAGTTCATACTCCTATACGCCAGATGTCCACAAACAGATATGCTCTGTTAAGTGAAATGACAAGGCAGAAAAGGTTTGAGAGAGCTACACTGGCCTGTGCTGTTTGATGGGACAGCAATGGGAGCTTACAGGCAAAATGAGGACAGGACTGCAATTTCTCTGCTATAACCTTGTATGTGGACATCAAAATACACCCCCAAATGAGAGCCCTGGTGGAATGGGTGACTGTCATCCAGGGTTATTTGCCAGCTTCCCTAGCAGAGGCTGTGATGTCGTGGGTATGAGGGGACCAGCCAGGTTTCACCCACTCCCCAGGGAAGCCAGCTGGAGACAGCTCTTCCCAGCCTGGTAAGGAAGAAGGAGAGCGGGGTCCACCCTGTGGCAGGTGGTTTGCTCTGGAAACTTAATCAGCACCTCCAGAGCTCATGGCAGACTGCCTGCCTCCCGCCTCCCGCTCCACGGGGAGGAAAGCTGCCATGATCTCACCCACAGGTACCATCTCAGTTTGCAGGGCTCTGCCTAGGCTCCCCCAGGAGCCGCGCTGTGGCTGGGCTGCCGAGAGTCCCAGGGCCTTTTCCAAAGTCACATCAAAAATGACAAAACATCACAATGCATTCGGCTCCAGTGGATTCAAACAGAGAGAACTTTTAAGTTTCCACTGTAATTAACCCTATCCTCGTTAAGATAATTATGATCAAGCTTCCTGTCACAGTTAATATCCCAGCATCATCGCCTGTGGCTCACACTCTGCCCTCATTAGCTTATAAAAACAGCAGCACTAAACAGGCGGCTGCTGCCCTGCCGGGTCTAGGCCAGTGGCTGGGGAGCCCTTGTAGAAAGGCCTTGGGCGGGTTAGTGCACCCAGCAGAGGAGACTGCTCCCTCGAACCCCTCTGCTCCTGGGTGGGCGAGCTCAGCCTCCTTCATCCTTTCCCAGAAAGTTGGCCACTGGTGAGAACAGGGAAGGAGAAAGGCCAGGGCAGAGCAAGCTGACAGCTTGGAGGCAGAGGAACTTTGGATTTGTAGTGGGCCCCCCTGCCCCAGAGCCAGCACAAAACCAGCAAGAGAACCATGCCATAAAAACCACCAGAGGTCACCTCCAGAACCCCCGGTCCAACCTCCTAATATAGCTGGGTGCTAAGAATTCCATCTCTCTCCCCTCCCAACCTGCACCAGCGGTGATACCCAGGCCTGGCAGGAGATCAGTAGCAAGTGGTGGGGACAGTTAACCACAGACCCTGTGAAAGAAACCTCGCTTTGGAACCACATTTGGTCTCACGTCCAGGGAGGAAAGTCAGATATTCTCAAATGAAGCAAGAAAACAAGATCCTCACGAAAAGCCTTCTCAACTCTACCCATCTACACATCCACATGGAAAGCCCAGGGAAATTCTAGGGGCCCCAGCCCACATGTCTCATGCCTACCACCCTGGCTAGTCCCCATGAGCTGCAAGGTCTGGCTGTTGCCAGTTCTATTGGAGAGTCTCTAGATGCTGTCTCCTAGCCCCTGATAAAAGGGACTCTGGATGCAACCGTCCACACACCTGGAAAGCTGTCAGGGGCAGCCAGGGCTCTGTGCCCTCACCAATGGACTACTTCTCATCCAGGAGCCTGTAAGAGTCTAACAGAAAATCAGCCAAGAGAACCCCAAGGGCAGGATGGAGAGCAAGCTTGGGGTGCTGGCCAGTGGCCAGGATGACAATGCCTTCCTTCAGAGGTCAGAGGCCTCCCCATCTTCATGTGGGGGAGCGTGTCTGAGAACAAGAAGAGTGACCATGGGACAGCCACTGCTGTATACCAGGGTAGCAATATTTAAAGGCCTCCTCACCAGCTGGAAAATGACTACAGCTCTGTGTACCCTTCCTATCATTTGCCCTCAGACCTCTTCACTATCCAACCACTAAGCAATGAATGCCCACCCACCCCAGCATGGGGCCATCATGGACAGGGCTCTCCCTGGCATCCGTTCTGACTGGTCAGTACAGTGGTTAAATAGTTCAATCACCTCTAAGAGCAGAAATAGTAATTTGTTCCTGTTTTACTCCTGCCTGACTCCCACACCTGACACACAGCAGGTCCTAGAGAAATGTCTGAAAATTACATTCCCACAGAGGCCATGACCAAAGCTACAAGGACAGGACGAGCAACACAAAGCTAACCAGTGGG